TTTATTAATTTGAAGAAAATTTTATACAAAATAAAAAACAAAACAGAAAATTTACAAAAACTTCTATCTAATATAAAACTATACTAAATCAAAGCCAACCTTGTACCGTCCCAGACTACTCTACCCAAAAATAAATTTAAATAGAATCAACCATCCAGTATAGGGGGTCTGGTAGCTATCTAGCCAAAAATCCAACCAATGCTTTTCATATCTAAAGAAGGAAATAAAGGAAGGGGAAGGAAGAAGACGAGAAGGAGAAGAAGAAGAAAATCCTGTAAAATAAAGTTATCTTTTTTGGAGGTAATTGTGATATTCATTTGTGTTTCCAATCTCTGCATAGTGACATTTCGGTCATTTCATATGGAAGATGTATACTCAAAAACATGATAATAAACCATAGATAAGAGGGAAAGAGTCATTTGTTTGTTGTTGAGAAATTCAAAGATATAGTTATAGAGGTCGAGAGGAACTAAGCCTTTAATGACATCAATGAAATAGAAGTCAGAACCTTGAGGAATTAAGTTTCAAATAGGAGAGAGACTGATATGTCTAAGCAGATCATTGGGGATAGAATCCACATCTTTAAGATCAACTAATTGAGAGAACAGAAGTTGGCATGTAGAATTAATTAAAGCATAAATTTGATTGGAAAAAGAGGAACAAAGCCAAATGTAATTAAAGTCTTCTTCTATTACAGAACAGCGACAACACAGCAAACTAGAATGATAGAGAGAAGGGTATCGGATTTTAAGGATTTCAATTGTGGGAAGCATTTCTAAAAGAAATTTGTATTTTTGTTTTTTGAGACCAGAGTCTTGATATGAAGTTGACAAGGATGAACCATTATCATTAAGAATAAAGGTAGATGCTAGCCAATTGATAGCCATAATGTTATAATGAGAAAATTGTATAAGAAATAGAGTGTCTTAAAATCGAATGGATTGAAAAAGGAGTTTGATGAAGTATTTGGGAGAGGTTAAAATTGGAAAATCGTGGAAGGATATGGGAAAGTCAAGACCATATGAAATAGAATCAAGAGAAGGAATAGGACCATCCTTTTTTGCGAGAGTATCAATTTTATTATTAAATTGGTCAGATGCATGAGCCTTGATTTTTGTGAACGATATATAAATATTTTTATCCTCTATAAGGCAGAAAAATGCAAACCAAATTGGAAAGTATGAGATATTGTATAGTGGATTATTGGTTGGAAAGCACCATTTTAAGAACTCAAATTTTTCAAAATTGTCTATGACCGTTTGAGCATCAGTATAAATATTAATAATTGATGAAGTTGGAGAGACATATAAAGCAGTAAGGATAGCCAAAAGTTCAGCAAGTGTAGATGAATGTGAATTAAGAAGAAGTGTAGCATTAAAAGTAATAGACGAATATAATGGGTTGGTTTGTAGTCAGGCAATTCCCATACGAATCGAAGGATTCCCTAGGTTAACTAAAGATCCGTCAGTATAGAATTGTAAGGTGAAAGTGTTAGTAAAATTAGCAGAATAAGAATGAAGACGCTTGATAGAATGTTCGTCAAAATAATTAAAAAAAGGAGAGATATTAGTAACAGAAGAAGCAATTTTATTACTCAGTAGAGTAGATGAAGTTACTGGAGAAATAAAGTAGCAAAAGCCAATTCATGTAACATGAATGGTGATAGAGGATACCGCGTGTCTTCCAGTTTGACAATTGATGTTTTTTTATTTGCGCATAACTCTTTGGAATTTTTAAAAAAACAATAGTGATTCTTGCCAAACATATTGGTAGCTTTAAAAGTGATGTTGTCTTGTAAAATACATCTATTACACGGTTCAAGAATTTAATTGAAGTTATCATTATGCAATACAATATGATGTTGTAGATAGACAGTATGCTCAGTAATAAGTAGTGTTTTACCAACTATAGAAGTTTGGAAGCCTATATTCCAAGTAGTGGTATAATTGGTCATATTTTTCTTGAACATTGGAGGAGCAATGCTCAACTGATTTCAATGAGGATGCCGCATATGTAAAGGTATCGACCGAGACGAGGAAGTAATAAAAAGAATAGCTTGCAGTTTTGTAAACCAATGTGGAATAACGCGTGTTATCATTTTGGTCGAAATAACATTAAGGTCTGAATGTGTAAAAAGAACAGCTTCATCATTTGTAGTGAGTTGGTCGAGAAACATGATTTCTTTGTTTCGAAGTGAAGAAGAAAATTCTCTGTAATCAGTTTCATCAAATAAGGTGATCAGAGGACAATGACCACCTTGAATATTACTAGAGAGTTGGGATGACAGATTAAAAGAAATATTGAAACGATTAAACGTCAACAAAAGTGAAGACCACCAGTCTTTAAATTTGTTAGGATTCGTAAACGGCCAATTATGTAGCAAGAAAAATGGTAGTCATTCTTTAAATTGAAGTTGAATAGCACAAATTCTAGATGTAAGGCCTACCAGACCTTTATCATTAATAATTTTGAAAAAATTTGAGGTTTTTGCTTACAATTGTTTGTCATATAGGTGGAATAATTTGTAATGTAAAGGTGAGTGAATGATGGCACTAAGAAATGATTTAGAAAGTCGAAGATTATGACGAAAGAGTCTATGAAAAAAACCCATAATGTTGTTACAAAATGTTTCAGATAAGTAAGTCAGTTGTGTACGGTACTGGATCTGAGGCAGAAGAACGGAGTTGAAAACAGAAACCATTTGTTTGTCAGTAAGTCTTTTTTTAGCCATCAATTGGATTGCTGATTTAACTGTACGAGTAACTTGTTGTAGAATAAAATTTTGATCATATTTTAACGAGATCCAAATTTCGAGATAGCAAATAGGTATCTTGGAATCTGTCAGAGTGATCCACAAAGGCTTGTTTTTAAAATTAAATTGAACCGCCGTAGTAATTGGTAAAGAGGATAAAAGAACTGATTTATTCCAGTTAACTTTGATAGAATTAAGGTGATAAAAACTATCAGTGATATTTAAAATATCATTGAGGTTATCTTTGCTATTGCCTAGCCATAAGGTATCATCCATATAAGCAAGAGCAGGTATATGAGCATCAATTGTGAATGTGGTGTTGTTTAAAATGTTGGGTTTCCAAGAAACTTTAGCGTGATAATCCAGTGTTGAATCTTGAATTCTACATAAAAGCGGGTCATAGTATATACACCATAAAATTGATGATATAATTTCCTGTTGATTAATGCCTAATAAGACTGAAAAAATAGGTGTATTACCGTACGCAGTAAAAACTTGATTAAAACGATTTGTGAAAATAGAAAGGATGAAACAACGAAAATTGGATGGAAGTCGAAGACGAATTAATGCATTATGGAGCATACTAAGGTTTACTCGATCGTAAGCCTTGGACATATCTTGGAATAAAATCTACAATTCTTTTGAAGGAGATTGATTAACGTTGAAGCGAATGTTATCTAAAATGTGAATAAGTTTGAAGATTGAGCAAAATGGGAGTCCTGCAAAGTTATACCCTTTTAAGACATTATGATTTGATAAAATGTTGAGTAACTGTTTGTTAATAAGCTTAACCAATGCTTTATGAGGACATTCTAACAAAGTGATAGGTCGTGTATTATTAAGGTTATATTCCTAAGGTTTGGGTTTGGGAATAGGATATATATAAGCTAGATTCTAACGATCGGGAGTGAGAGAGAGATTAAGACATTCACAAACAAAGATCAAGAATACTTTTTTCATCCTAGGACCAAGGTGTCTTAACATTTCATTAGAAATTTTGAAAGGACCAGTAGCTTTGTCTAAAGGAAGAGCTAAGATGACATTATACCACTCGTCTTCAGTTGGGGGTATCATGAGATCATTATAAATATTGGGATCAATGTCAGCCAAGGAAGAATATCACTGTGTTTATTCATCTGGGATGGTTTCATCATGATGGTAAGTGTCAGTAACTTTTTGAAAATAGCGAGCTGTCTCACGTTTGACATCACCTTCGGATGTGAGAAAACCTAAGTTTTGAGTCAAGTTATCTAGACATCTATCTAATACTATGACATGCCTTTCTTTATTAAGAAGTGAATCATACATTTTCATCTGATTATCGTGAAAGTTGTTACATCATTGTTTTAAGGCATTTTTGATAGCTTAAGCTTTATGTTCTTCTTCTTTGGATTTAGCTGAGACAGTCAAGCTTGAGATAAGTACTTTAATTTGGGGAATAATAGATTGTATAGTAGATAGTGACAATGTCTGACTAGTGACCGGTGGAAGGGTAATGGCAAATTGAGCTGAGAAACCAGATGCTTTACCATACAAGGAGACCCAGATTGGTGAAATAGTTCTAGAATTTAAAGCTTTTTTTGAAAGTTTTTCGAGTTTTTAAACAGTTAATAATTGCTAGTAAACTTTTTTAAGTGTTTTAGGCCTCAGGTCACGTGCATGTTGTGAAGAGTGATGAATAGGGATAAACTTCTCTGCTGCTTTTATAATATAACCTTGGATTAAATCCCAGTAAAAATTTAAGGCGTGTTTGGATTTCAGTTTGGTTTTATCCAAATTGGCGAGCTGACAGGAAGAGAGTAGCGCATCTGTTTTGTTAGCAAAATTCATCCAATTATTGTGAGACATCTTATCATAGTGAAAAGATATCTTCTTAGCGGAAGCTTTGTTGGACTGATGAACTAATTCTGAAATATAAAAGAGGTTGTTGCAATATTATAATCTGTGAAATCTTCATCGACAGCAATTACTGTGGCTGTATGTATATCAATCACCAATCTATCTGAACAATAAATGTGGTCAATCCTGGATGGGGTAAGGCATATTTTGTTGTTAAAAGTAGGAAATGTTGCATTAGCATCATCAAATAAAAGGTCGAAAGTGTTGTATATATGATCATTATCCAATTGCTCAAAAAATTTATTTGAGTTTGAAGGATTGTTAGTCTAAGAAGGAACTGCATTAAAGTCTCCTAGTAGGATAACTTGCATGTTGTCCAGTTTGGCTTGGTTGAGTAATTTAGTAATGGTAACATAAGTCTTATTACAGAGTATGATATCTGAACTTGAGATATAGGCATTGATAATGCGAAGTCTTTATTTATGGCGGAATTGTAAATCTATATAGATATATCGTCCAAGATCATTTTGCCAATTGTACACGTGATCTGCAAATTGTTTTTTTATAATAATACTGACTCCAAAGCCAGACTTTTGTGTGGATTGATTATGATTTAAAAATATTTGGTAATTTAAATTAATAGTACGTCGTAAAGTTTTAGATTGCGTATTTTTGAGATCAGTTTCTTGTATTTCAATAATATCTAAATGGTGTAAAGAATAGAGTTGCATGAACATTTGTTATTTTATTGGATTGGTGAAAGAGCGAACATTATGTGTGACAGTTTTTAAAATTTGATTAATTGTATTATGATTAGAAGGGGAATTTGAAGTATTTTTATTGTTATTATTATTTGTACTAATCATTTTTAAAGAAATTTAGGTTGGGTGGGTGGATCGTACTTATTATCATTAAAGTAATCTAAAGGTGCTGGTTTAATTAGTTTTGCGATGTTAATTAAATGATTTTCTGGTAAGATCTCGTGATGAACAAGCAATCTTTGCATTTGGGCTACGGTAATGAGAGCATTGTTAAGTTTTTCATAATTATCACTTAAGTTGTTTTTGAGAATGGAGTTTTCAAGTTGTAATTCAGTAACTTGGGATTCTTGTTACCGAACGACGGATTTGGAGATATCAATTCCTGCAGTAACAACTTCATTGTCCTCTTTTTCCATGTCATCAAGGGGATTTTTATACTTATTATTATTGATGATATCTGCCTGTTCAGGGGAAATAGATGTGATATTGAGAACAGTTTCGATGGTATTTACTCTCGTAAGTGTAAAGCCAAGTTGATTATGAATGTCAGCAAGTTGTTGAGAGATATTGACAAGTTGAGTGGAAATGCTGTCAAGAAGAGATGGTTGATATTTATTATCATGATGACGGAACAATTCTGCTTCAGTTTCGTCAGCCCATGACTCGTTACCATAGATACTATCATTTAGAGTGTTTCCTACAGATGGTTTATTCTTAGAAAGAGGTAGTAAAACATTAAGGTCTGTTTTAGGATCGATGATATGGGCAAATAAAAGACCATTCAGTCCAGATACATTTTGTTGACTAATGCCTTTATTATTTCTATTATTGTGATTAGTTGGATTTTTAGGAAGAAGATTTGTAGGTGTGGGTTTGACTTTTGGAACTGAGGCCGAATATTCTTAAATTGGGCAGGTTGGTATTGTTGATACAGATTTTGTAGTTGATGATCTTTTGGGGTGGAACGTTTTCATCTACAATTTTGGGACAAATGTTCGAGAGCAGAGCAGATAAAACAGAGCTTCTGGTTTGGGTCAGTCCAAACAAGTCATTTTTTATCTAAGTAGAGCGAGTCACTATTCTTTACATAATCTAATGTCTCTTGATCAGACAAATACATAATAGCATATTGAAGATTCCTATATGAAGCCTTTGATTAGGAATAACCCAGGCTATGGCGTGAATAGCATGGCCAATTTCTTGTAGATGTCGTCCATTAATGTCGACAGGTAAGTTAGTCAGTTTAAGGGAGAATTTTGATTTTTGTCTGATTTCATCGTTAGATAAGATGCAGTAGTGTATTCTAACCATATCTTTCAGCATAAAAAAACCATGATAGGTATCGAATTGTGACATATTAGTGCTAGTATCAAATTTAATAGTGGCTTATTGCCACAGATTTTTGGTGATCATGGAGCATCGGGCAATCTTACCAAAAAAATCAAATGAAGATCTGATATTTGCTTCTGTAATGGTGATCAGAATTTCGGTAACCTTGATCGACATCTCAGGGGTAAATCTAACAATTGGAGTAACATCTAGTGAAACGAATATGGTATTATCCATATCGGGTATAGGAACTTTTAAGGCGCGTTCAAAATCATCTCGTGTTGTAAAACTAATTCGGATGATTTTCTTTGTTGCATCTTAGAGGTGATTGTAGACTGTAGCACCAGTAAATGATGGAAAATGGGGTCCGTTGAACATGTCACAAGCAGCATTGCATTTGCCTTTGTTGGTACTCTTTGGGAGAAAAGTATCTGCTGTGCAGAAGGCGAAGAAAATAGGAACACCAGTTTCGCGTTCAAAGTGAAGAGTATTTTTTTGTTAGGTGTTGTCAAGCATATATTCAGCTGCGTCGAAAGATTGGTCGAGGTCAATAGGTGTGTTCTTTACAGGTGGGATAATTTGTTCTGGTCCTTTTCCTTTATCTTGAGAAGATGAAGTTGAAGTAACTTTTACTTCCATTTCTATTGGAGTATTTTCGTTATTATTGAAAGTTGAGGTGGAAGCTTCTAAAGCTTGTTGTTGTTGTTGTTGTTGTTGTTGCTCTTCCGAAGTATCTAGTTGTAGTATTTTAGCTGGTGGTGGAGTAGATCTATTTACGATTGGCAAACTTGAACATCTGCGATTACTTGGTTTTTTATTTTTATTCGTATTTTTAGGCATTTTGGGTGTTAGGGGGAAGAGTCTCACCAAAATAATTTTTTTTTTTTTTTTTTTTAACGTGCGGTAGCTTCGCAAAATCTTTATTATTTGAAAATAATTTATACAAAATTAAAACAAAAATAGAAAAAAATGAAAACTTCTATATATCATAAACTATGCTAGATCAAAGCCAACCTTGCACTGTCTTAGACTAATCTACCTAAAGAAAACTCTAAATAGACTCAACCATCCAGTACAGGGGGCCTGATCGCTACCATACCAAAAATCTGACCGTTGCTTTCCAAATCTAAAGGAGGAAGTAAAAAATAATAGAATAGAGAGTTGTGAATAAGAAGAAGAGGGAAAACCAGTGAACACAAAGTTCTCTTTTTTATCAGTTATAGTAATAGAAAGTTGCTGTTCTAGTTGAATCATAGTAGTTTTACAGTCATTCCAAATCTGAGATGCTTGTTCAAAGGCATGAAAATAAACCATAGAGAGCAGTGAAAGTGTTGTTTGACGATTGTGGATGATAGTAGATACTTGATTAAAAAGATCATCAGGAACTATGCCTTTGATAATGTCAATAAAACAAAAGTTAGAACACTGTGGAATTAAATTCCACACAGGAGACTGCCGTAAAGGTCTTAATAAGTCATCAGATAAGTCAGATCCATTGATTGCGATAAGTTGTGTAAGTAGGAGTTGTCGTGTAGTATTAATAAGAGTAGCTATCTGATTAGAAGAAGTGGAGCAAAGCCAGATATGATTGAAATCTTCCTCGATAATTAAACAATGACAACAAAGGAGTTGTTGATTGTAAAGAGAAGGATGACGGATTTTAAGAGTTTCAATAGTAGGGAGCATTTCAAGCATAAATTTGTATCGTTGTTTTTTGAGGTAAGAGGCTTGAAAGGATGTAGATATGTGTGATTCGTTATCATTGATAATGAAAGATAAAGCAAGCTAATTGATAGAAAATCTATCATATCGAGTGAAGTATGATGAGGTTAAAGTGTTTTGAAAATGAATAGCTTTGAACAAGGTTTTGATGAAAAAGTTAGGTAATGTTAAGATAGGCATATTCTGGAATGCAAGGGGGTAATCTGGACCAAAAGAGTTTAGATCAAGGGAACAAGGAGGACCGTCCAATTTAGCAAGTGCATCTACTTGGTTGTTGAGAACATCTTGATCATGAGCTTTGACTTTTTTGAAGGATACCACCAAATTTTTGTCAGTCATTAAATGAAATAAAGCGAACCAAATTGGGAAGTATGTGATATTATATGTTGGATTGTGTGTTGGTGAGAATTTTAGGAGAAAGTCAAACTTATTAAAATTGTTGATTACAAATTGAGAATCTGTACAGATGATAATAGATGAGCAAGGAGGAGAAATGTATAGAGTAGTAAAAACAGCTACAAGTTCAGCAAGTGACGACGAAGGAGAATTGGAAAGAAAAGTAGAGTTAAAAGCAATAGACAGATGTAAAGTATTAGTTTGCAACCAGGCGATTCCCATACAAACGGTTGTGGTACCTAAATTAGAAAGAGAATCATTAGTGTAAAATTGAAGATCAGTGGCTGTGAAAAAGTTAGAAAAGAGTAACGTAAGTCTATTGATAGTAAGTTGGTCAAAATAATTGAATAAAATTAAAGAATTAGAAAATGAAGAAGAAATAAAATTATCAGAGGATAAACTAGGTTGAAGTGAATTGAAAGTAAAAATAAAAGTGTGAGTTCATGTAACATGTAAAGCGATAGAGAACAACGAGTGCCAACATATTTGATAATTGAAGTTTTAATATTAGCACAAAGATCAATAGGGTTTTGAAAAAAAACAATAACGGTTTTTTCTAAACATATTAGCGGCTCTATAAGTGGTATTGTCGTTTAATATACAACCATTACATGGTTCCAAAATTGAGTTACATTGATTATTTGACGAAACAGTATGATGCTGAAAATGTACAATATCACCGATAATCGCTAGAGTTTTCCCAACAAGTGAAGAATTCAAAGCAATATTCCACATAGTAGCATAGTTTGTTTGGTTATGTTTAAATATGGGAGGCCCAAAGTTAAGAAAATTTGAGTGGGGATTGTAAAGAGCTTGGAGCAATAGCCGTGAAGTTAATGTGATATTTAATTCATCTTGGAATTTGATAAACCAACGAGGAATAGCTCGTGTAGCTATATTAGAGGAGATAACACTAAAATCTGAGTGAGTAAAAAGTGTAGACCCGTTACTTGTCGTAATTTGATTAAGGAAAAGGATCTCTTTCTTCTTAAGATGAACTGAAAATGATCTATAATCTTTTTCATTGAAAATATTAACCAAAGGATGACGCTCTTCACAGATCTCATTTTGAAATTGTTGAGAAGGAATTAATGACATGTCAAAGCGTTTAAAGAATGAAAGAACTGATGACCACCAGTCTTTAAGGTTATTTGGATTGGAGAAAGGCCAAGAAGTCAAAGGAGAAAATGGCAACCATTCTTTCTGTTGCAATTGGATTGCATGAATTCTTGAGGTAAGGCCAACCAAGCCTTTATCGTTAATTATTTTAAGCATATTAGAACATTTCGATTGTAATTGTTTGTCAAATAAGTGAGATAAATTATAATGCATCGGCAAATAAATGATGGCTGCTGGAAATGATCTGGATAGGCGCATACTAGATCAAAATAATTTATGATAAGAACCCATAACATTATTACAAAAGGTTTCTGGTAGGTAAGTTAATTACGTTCTATATTGAATTCTTGGAAGAAGAACAGAATTAAATATTAAGATGATTTGTTTGTCAGTGAGTTTCTTTCTAATTATCAGTTGAATAGCTAATCTAATCTCATTGGAAGTTTGTTGTAAAATATATTTTTTGTTGTTTGTTAGGGAAAGCCAAATACCAAGATATCGAATTGGTATTTTAAGATCAATAGGAGTGAGCCATGTTGGATTATTGTTAAATTGAAATTGTATTGCTGTGGTAATAGGGATAGAGATCAAAAGAACAGATTTATCCCAATTGACTTGAATAGAGTTTAAACTATAGAAACTATTTGCAATATTTAAAATATTGTTAAGGTCATCTTTAGATTTGCCTATCCAAAGAGTATCATCCATATAAGCGAGAGTAGGAACATAGGCTTCAATTGAAGTGGTAACATTTCGTAAAAGATTGGGTTTCCAAGTAACTTGAGAGCGATATCCTAACGAGGAGTTTTGGATTTTACATAGTAAGGGGTCATAATAAATACACCATAAAATCGGTGATATGATTTCCCCTTGATCAATACTCAAGAGGACTGAGAAAATGGTGGTATTTCTAAAAGTGGTAAAGACTTGATTAAAACAATTAGCGAAAATGGAGAGAACAAAGCATCGAAAGTTCGAAGGTAAACAAATTCTTTTTAGAGCATTATGTAACATGTCAAGGTTTACTCGATCGTAAGCTTTGGACATGTCTTGAAATAAAATCCACAATTCTTTTGATTTAGACTGATTAACATTATATTTAATGTTATCAAGAATATGAATTGGTTCGAAGGTTGAACGAAAAGGAAGTCCAGCAAAATTGTATCCTTTTAAAATATTATGTTTTGAGAGGATGTTCAATAGATATTTGTTGATAAGTTTAACTAGAGCTTTATGTGAACACTCCAGTAACGTAATTGGTCAAGTGTTATTAAGGTTATATTCCCATGGTTTGGTTTTGGGATAGGATAAATAAAAGCAAGATTCCAACGATCAGGTGTGAGAGAAAGGTTGAGACATTCACAAACAAACATCTAAAACACTTTTCTCATCTTGGGTCCAAGATTCTTTAGCATTTTATTTGAGATTTTTGATGGACCGGAAGCTTTATCATTTGGGAGAGCTGAAATAATATGAGACCATTCCTCTTAAGTAGGTGCAATCATAAGGTCGTTATAGATATTAGGATCAATATCATTTATGGGAGCATATGAAGGAATCCATTCATCAGGTATGTTCACTTCGTAATGACAAGAGCCAGTAACTTGTTAAAAATGGCGAGCAGTTTCTTGTTTGATCTCCTGAGCAGAAGTGAGTAAATCTAGATTTCGTTGAGAAGTTGTCGCAGCGTTGTTCAAGTGCAAGTCTAATAGATTTAGATTTATGTTCTTCTTCTTCTACTCTGGCTATCACAGTTAAAGTGGAAATAAGGGCTCTAATAGTAGGAATAATTGCATGAATGGCTGATAGTGTTTGCATAATGATAGGCGGAAAATTAATTTTTAAGGCAACTGCAATTTTAACTGTTTTGTCATAACTGTTGGACTATTGCGTAGGAATGCAATTAGATATAAATGCTTTCTTAGAAAGCTTTTCAAGTTTTTGAGCTGTTCTTATTTGTCAATAGACTTTCTTTAAGGATATAGTCTGAGGTCACGTGAGTGCTGTGACAAACGGTGAATTGGAATACATTTTTCAGCAACTTTTATAATGCATCCTTAGATCAAATTCCAATAGAAATTCAAAGCTTGTTTAGATTTTAACTTATGCTTTTCCAAGGTAGCCAGTTGATATAAGGTAAGAAGACTATTAGTTTTGTGAGCAAAAGCTGACCAATCATTATTCGACATATTGTCATATTGAAAGGAGACTTTTTAACAGGGGTCTTGGATGTCGAGGATACAATTTCTGGGATAAAAAAGGAAGTTGTAGCTATTGTATGGTCAGATAGGTTATAGTCTATATCGATTGTAGTTGCCTCTTGTAGATCAGTTGTTAGACCTGTCGAACAGAAAATGTGATTAATTCTTGAAGGAACAAGACATATATTGTTATAAAAAGTAGGGAAGTCTGAATTAGCATGCTCATGTAGAAGATCACATGTATTAAAAATATTAGCATTATCCAATTGATCAAAAAATTTATTAGAGTTAGATGGATTAATAGCTCGATTTGGTACTGCATTGAAGTCACCTAAGAGCAGTGATGTCCATTTCCTATGTCCCAAGCATTTGCTGTCCCAGCTATATGTCCCAACTATATGTCCCAACTATGTCCCATATATGTCCCAAATGTTCTATCTGTCCCATCAATGTCCCATCAGTGTCCCATCAGTGTCACATCAGTGTCCTAACTATGTCCCATGACAACACTGCCTAAGAGTATAATGTTCATATTATTCAATCGTGCTTGGTTGAGGAGTTTGGTGACTGCATAGAAAGTATTATTACGAAGGGTGGAATTAGAGCTAGAAATATAACAATTAATGATGCAAAGTCGATATTTGTTACGAAATTGAAGATCAATATAAATATATCATTTTAAACTACTATTACTAAAATAAATATGATCAGCTAGATGTTTTTTAATAATAATTCCCACACCAAAGCCAGATTTTTATATATTTTGTTTATGGTTGAGAAAAATCTTATAATTAGGATCAAGAATATTAGACAAAGATTTGTTGGAGGTTGTAATGAGATCAGTTTCTTTAATACCTATAATATCTAAATGGTAGAGAAGGTAAAGTTGGACTAAAATTTGTTGTTTAAATTATTGGGTGAAAGAACGAACGTTGTGAGTAGCTGTTTTTAAAATATGATGATTATTAATATCTTCTACAGGTGGATTATCATTTATATTTTGATTCATATCAGTTGTATTAATCATTAATTAAAGTTGTTTTGGTGGTGGTGGACCTTCATAATTTTTGTCATCATAGAAAGAAGACGGTACCAGTTTCACAAGTTCCATAATAGGAATCAATCTATCTTGAGGTATCATCTCATGGTAGACGAGCATTCTTTGCATTTGAGCTACTGCAGTAAGGGCGTTATTGAGTTTGTCGAAGTTAACACTTAAATTTTGTTTGAAAATGGAGTTTTCTAATTGGAGCTCAGTAACCTGGGCTTCCTGTCGACAGATAGTGGATTTTGAGGTGTCTATTCCAGCAATAACAACGTCATTCTGATTAACATCCTCATCCATCTCATCAATTTGGTCTTTAAGTGGATTAGAGTTGATGATCTTTGCTTGTTCAGGTGAGACAGAAGAGATATTAAGCACAGCTTCAATTTTACTGACTCTAGTAAGAGTAAAAGCAAGATTATTATGGATATCGGCGAGCTGTTGAGAAACATTATTGATTTGTGTTAGGATGGCGTCAAGTTGAGATGGTTGGTATTTGTTCTGATGATGAATGATGTCTTTTTTCAGTCTCATCAGCCTAAGATCCAAACGCATGAATACTGTCATCTAATGAGTATCTCTTATTATTAGAGGTATTATAATTAGAAACTTCTTTGGATGAAGGTTTATTTTTTGGGACTGGTGGTGGTTCGGTAAAATCATCATCAATTAATTGGACAATATGTGCAAAAGAAGAACCATTTGGACAGGTGTATTATATTGTGTAAATCCACCTTTGTTACTGTTGTTACAATTGTTAGTGAAAGGTTTCGGAATAGGTTTTGGTTTAATTGGAGGAACTGAGTAATTTTTGAATAGAGCTGGTTGATAATGTTGATAAAGATTTTGAAGTTATCGATCTTTTGGGAGTGTACGTTTGCGTTTACAATTGTGAGACATGTGACCTGAGGCTGAGCAAATAAAACACAATTTTTGGCCAGGATCTGTCCAGATAAGTCTTTTTCTATCAAGATAAATGGAATCTCCTTCTTTAGCCAAGTCAAGGGTCTTCTGGTTTGAAAAGTATATGACTGCGTATTGAAGGTTTCTATAAGACGCTTTTGATTTAGAAATGACCCATGCTATAGCATGAACAGTGTGACCAATTTCTTTAAGTTGTCGTCTGTTAGTATCAACTAGGAGGTTGGTGAGTTTTAAGGAGAATTTTGATTTGAGGTGAACCTCTTCATTGGAAAGAGAACATAGATGTATACGGACTATATCTTTGAGAACAAAAAATCCATAGTAATCAATAAATTGAGATATATCAGTGCCTGTGGCAAAAGTAATTGTGGCTTATTGTCACAAATTTTTGGTGATCATGGTACAACGTGCGATAGTATCAAAAAAGGCAAATAATGACCTGATGTTAGATTCCGTTGTGATGATCAGGATCTTGATAACTTTGATAGACATTTCAGAGGTAAATCTCGTTGGTGGTGTAACATCTAATGGTAGAAACGTGGTATTATCTATATTAGGAATAGGGATCTTAATAGCACGTTCAAGGTCATCTCGTGTAGTAAAACTAATATGGATAATTTTCTTTGTTGCTTCCTGCAGGTAGTTTCTGACAGTAACACCAGTAAAAGAAGGAAATTGTGGTCCGTTGAACAAATCACAAACAGCGTTACATTTTTCTTTATTCGGTTTATTGAGGAGGAAAATATCTGCTATGCAGAAAGCGAAAAAGATGGGAGCTCCAGTTTCGCGTTCGAAGTGAAGAGCATTGTTTCTATTGTTTTTATCTAGCATATTTTCAGCAACGTCAAAGGACTGGTCGTAGTCTAAAGGTTCTTTATTGACCGGAGGAATATTAATTTCAGGTGCTTTGCCTTTATCAGTTGGAATAGAAGTTGAAGTGCTTTTTACTTCCATATCGGTTGGAGTACTAAAGTTCTCTAAAGTTGAGGTGGACGGTTCTGGTTATTGTTGTTGTTGTTGTTGTTGTTCTTAGTTATTGAGCTGTAGTCTCTTCGCTGGAGGTAGAGTTGGTCTACTAGTAACAGGCAAACTTGAACATCCGCGAGTATTAGGTTTCTTTGCATTGATTGTTTTTTTAGTCATTTTTGTGTATTGGGTGGAAGAGTCTTCCTCCCCAAAATAATTTATTTATTTATTTATTTTTTTTTTAAGTGCGGTAGATTCGCAAAAACTTTATTGATAGTAAAATAAAAAATTACATAAATCAGAATTTACAAAAATTTCTATCTAATATAATCATGAAACTATACTAAATCAAAACTGACCCTGCACTTTCCTAGAATCCAACATAACCTAAATTACATTATTACTTTCCAGAAGACTAGAAATAAGGAAAGGGCTTGGCCCCTACTATACCAAAAATTTGTCCATTGTGATCGATCCTAAACGGACCATGTTAGTAATGAGTTTGGTGGGAATGAAAGGTTCTGAAGAAGTTGAAAAGGAATATCCTGTAGCTTCAAAATGTAACCGCTTATCCCGTTTGCTAATATTGTGTGATTTTTCAAAATCATCAAATAATGAGCATTACCTGGTTCAAATCATTTGAGATTGTTCGAAAACAAAGTGCATAAAACTTGAAAGTGCTGCAATTGTATTTTCTTTCATTCCCAAAACAGAAAGTATGAGATTGTAGAGGCTTATCAGTACAACACCTTTAATGATGTCAAAGAATAAAAAGTCTGTGAGAGAAGAAATTAACCATATGTTTGACTGATCGATATATTGTGGTATAGCATGAAGGTCTAGCAGTAGCACCAGGTGTTGTTTGGATTGTTTAACCAGTGTAGATAACTTAGTATACACAGTGATACAATTCCAAATATGCGAGAAATCCTCAAATTCAATATTGCATCGGATACATTTCCATGAAAGGTGATAAAGACTTGAATGATGCTTTTTTAAAACCTCTAATGTTGGCAGTATTTCGAGGAATCAATGGATTTTCTTTTGTTTAATAGCTGAGGCTTCATAGCACGTAGTGCATGAGGTAATATTATCAGTGATGCAATGAAAGGTAGCTAACCAGTGAACCTTCAAGGGATGATATTTTGAAATAATGGCTAAATTGAGGAATGTTGCTAGAGTTTCTGCTCTTTTGATTTCTTTAATGAAAGGCTGGATTGGAGTAGCTACAGAGAGTTTATTAAAGAATAATGAGCAATGCTCATCATCATCTATGTTAATTTGAAGAGCTGATGAGGACAGAAATTGTTTTGCAAGCGAATCTACTTTATCGTTAAAGGTGTCTCCTGAATGTGCTTTCACTTTGATCAGTGAGACAGTAATATGCATCTTTTTTATGGTATTGAATATGCAATGCCAGATGTGAACGTTGGTTATCTTCAGAAATGGTTTTTGAGATGGTGAATAGTTTAACAGATTCTTGTATTTGTTGAATTGTGCAATAACTACACTAGAATCAGTGAAAATTTTGATTCGACATTGTGAAGGAGCAACAAGAATCGCTATAAAAATAGCAGCAAGCTCGGCGATAGAGGAAGAAGGAAAAGTAGTTATGAAGGCTGATAAGTAAGACATAATTGGTGCAGTAGGCGCAGTTTGAAGCCAAGCAAGACCCATTCTAATAGAAAGCTTTTCTAAATTAATAAGTGAGCCATCGGAATAAAATTCGAGGTCAGAACACTGTATAAAATATGAACTTAGAGCTATTAATTGTGAAGAATGAGAGAAAGGAATATATTTTTCTATAAGTGTAGGTGAGGTTAAATGAATGTTAGGAAGTGCGAGAGGCGGTCTTAATGCAGTATGTAATTGTTTGAAGAAGGAATCAGCTAAGTCTTTTAACATGTCCATTGACCATGAGCAAAAGGGCCCAGACTCAGACCAACTATAATTGACAGGGATGGTAAAACAAAGATTGAGTGGGAAATTAGTGAAACATAAATTGTGAGACGTAGTAACAGTTGAAGGTAAGATAGTAAATGGATTAGTGATTGAACATCTATTGCATTCTTTCAATATTGTTTTTCGTTGTTAATTATGTGATGGGATAAAATGCTGAATTGTGATAGAGGTATTATTAGACTGTCGAAGTTTTCCAATAATAGGTTGATTATTGCCTAAATTCCAACCCACAATAAAAGATTGTTTGCCAGGAATCTTGTTTGGTTGCTCGAAATCAAAATAACATTCTTTCAAATGTGGAACCTTTTGACTTAATTCACTTAAAATAGGATTTGAGAGTAATTTTTGTAACTTTGTGAACCACGCTGGTATTTTTCCTATGTGTGGGGTGTTTTGGTATACTAAGAGGTCGGCAAAAGTGAGCATAGATCGACCATGTGAATAGGAAAGCTGTTCCAAGAACAGTAACGAATATTTTCTTAGATCAGCAGCAAATTCTTTGTATCGTTCAGGAAATACTATGTGTAATGGAATATTTCCTTCTTTGATGATGTTATGAAAAGTTGTTGGTACTTGAAATGTGATTACGGATTTGTTCCATTCACATAAAACATTAGCTAACCAATCTGAATCTTTTGAAGGGGATGTGTAAGGCCAACATAATAGCGGAGAGTTAGCTAACCATTCTTTTTGTTGGAGTTGTTTGAGTCTATGTTTGGTAGAAATACCCAAAAGATTATTATCATTAATGGCGAAAAGGAGACCTTCGCTATGCGCAGCAAATAATCAGTGATGTAAATTGGTGAGATTATAAAACAAATGTGAATGCAGGATTGTGTGAGGTGTGGAACGCGTTAATCGTAGCTTCTTTTTCATAAATGATCTGTAAGGAGAAATGATTTGATGATATTGTTGGTCAGTAAATGCCATTAATTGTGCTTTATATTCGATCCTCGGAATAAGAACAGTATCGAATATATATGTGAGCTGTTTATCAGTGAGCCGTTTTTTGAATATTATTGTAACAGCATTTTTTATTTTGCTTTTGACCAATTTGTGGGTGAAGGTTTTATTATGCCTGAGTGATATCCAAACCCCCAAGTATCTTATAGATTCGTTAAGTGAGAGCGGAGGAATTACAGTAGGAGTACCATTGATAATGCAAGTAAATGCGTTATTATTGTCGTTACGATTTGTGAGTAAAACAGATTTTCCCAGTTCACTTTAATAAAATTGAGTTGATAGAAGCTATCTACTATATGTATAATATGGTCCAAATCCTCCTGTGATTTTGCGATCCACAGGGTATCGTCCATGAATGCTAATGTTAATGTTTTAATGGTGGTGGATTCCTTGATATTGGTCATGACATTTGGTTTCCATAAATGTGTAAGAGAATAGCCATGCTCCGAGTTTTGGATCCTACATAGAAGTAGATCGTAATAAATACATCATAACAAGGTGAAATAATTTCATCTTGGTCAATACCAGACATCACATGATATGTATCAGTGTTACCGAACATAGTGAAAATTTGATTATAACGGCTCCCGAACATTTTCATAATGAAACGGATAAAATTAAAAGGGATATGCAGTCATTCTAACGCTCTGATCAGCATAAACAAATTATCCTGATCATATGCTTAGACATATCTTGTAACAGGATCCAAAGCTCACTTTTGTTATGTAACGCATCATATTTGATATTATCAA